TGATAACATTCACCTTTCTGAATGAGAATTCGAAGTATAGTGAGATCCCACACTCTTTCTCAACAGATGAAGTTAGATGTTGCACTCTGTTTCAAGAACCAAAGTGCATATAGATAAATGTGTCTCTTGGTGAGTTGTAGTAAGCAGCTTCTTTGGGCTATCTGTAGAACACGACATCTGCTTTGTCTTTACACATTTTATATTTACATTCAGTTTTTTAAATGGTATTAGTGAAAACAGAGCTGATGTCGTGCTGCATACATCGACGAGAAAAGTTGCTTAATACAACTTACCAACAGGCAAATGATCAGTTCTGATCAAATGCATGTTGCGATGATGAAAACGTGTGGGTTGATGGCAACATCAACTTGCCAGAGCAACACCCTTTCAGTTGAGAACAAAGAAAAAAAAACATGATGACTATTAACGCTGATGTGTGCATACATAAAGCGAAAACTATTTTGCAGCACATACGTGAATGAGTTATTTATGTAATATGTTGAAATTATTGAAGGAAATGAAGGCAGCTTAAGTTTTTGTTTTACATAATAAGGAATATGTATGCAAAAATTTTATAGAAACGATTGCATCGTTGATTGCTACAATTAATATCAAGTGTAATGACAACGAAAGTTCGGAAGAGGGTACGGGTGTGGATATGGAACTTGATATCTTTGTGAATCACACCCAGACCCACACACCCTATGTCTGACCAGCACCTAGTTGAGATATTTGAGGAAACTTTTCGTCTAGTGGTGCATTTGTCGAAACTTGAGCACATATTGCCAAAGTTACAATGAATGTAACAATAGCAGTAAAGGGTAATATAATAAAAGACCAAAACCATATCAGTGGCCCAACTCTTGTAATGTTCTTTTTGAAGAAAAGAATATATGTTCACTATGATTCGTTCCGAAAAAAAGTCTCTTTTATATAGAATGCATAGTGATTTAAATTTGCTATTATTTATATAATAACATAGAAATGCAGTAAAAATGATGGTACAATGATGCTATAGGTATTTTTTCTTTTCAACTAACTTGATTTAAAGAAGATAAACGTTAATGGCAACATGATGATATCACTTTTATTGTTATCATAAAATAATGATCTTTGAATTCGTTCACAACTAACAATATTTTCTTTAGATATCATAGACTATACATGATCGTACAATTCATCCATAAGAATCATTGCGTACGAGTTCATGCGTATATTGTAGTTAAAAATATAGAATAGACTTATATCATTCAAAACGTGTCTATTTCTAATTAGTTTCTACATTTCTTTGTCTTTTATTTTTCTTGAATACATATTGATATAAAAGAAAAACCGTTCTGTTTATCATAAGATAAAAAATAAAAGATGATTGCATCATCACTATTCATCATTGAATACCACAAAAATATCAGATTCATCGCTTTTAGCTGATATTGTTTCACCATTCAATTTTCCTAATAAGAAATAAAATATAATTTGATATTTTAAAAAATAAAAAGTTAACTAACTGTCTGCTTCGACTTGTTGATTGGAACACACAATTGAATTTTGAATTACACATTTTGATCCGATTGTTGAATGAGAACATAATATGAAATTTTCCAGAGTTACTCTATAATAATTAAAAAGAAAATAAATAAATTTATCTATTTATAGTTTTTTTTATTTTTACCCTTCTTTAACATAAACATTATCTAGTAAAACACAATTAACTATTTTACATTCATTTTTAATTCGACAATTTTTGCCAATAATAGTTCGTTTAACTGTCGTTTTCTTTCCAATAACATGTCCATCACCGACAATACAAGCAGGAGTAATCTGGAATTATATATATATATATTACATTCTATCTCTGTTATTAATAAAAATAAAAGTTTTAACATTTAAATGGATAAGAGATATTTTACACCTATACTCCAACATTTGAAATTGTTATTTTAATTTGTACTATGTCAAATTCAGTAATATACGTATAATAAGATTCTTTGAAATAAACAAAACTTTACTTGAATCTGTTCTAATCGATCTTTAAATGTAATATCTTCATTGGTATATGATAAAATGAGTGATGATGCCTTGAAAATACAAAAAAAACAAATATAATAATAATAATAATAATAATAATAATAATAATAATGATAATAATAAAGTAAAATAATGTTAATAACTGACTTGTCGATTAGCTTCAAGATATGAAAGAACATGTTTAACGCGAAAAATTTGTGTCTCATCAATAAAGTAATAACAACCTCCTCTTATTTGTTTATTATCACAATCATATGGTTTTGAAAGTCTTGTTAAATCAGCATGATTATCTAAATTAGTGGCTATTTTTTTTAAATTGAATCAAATTTCAATAAAAGAAAGAACTAAAATAAGAATAAACCTTTCTGTCTCATCACCATCGTTACATTAGCAGATGTTGAAATGAGATCTTCAAGTGATTGACCAGTTGCCATTCGTTGAATCATTTCTGGTAGACATTGTTTAGGAAATGATGAATAACTTGAACGAATAGCAATATCCAAACAAGATTTTTTTATTAAATATAAATGAGCATCAACCAAATCTTGTCGAATACTTGTTCGAGGATATCTTATTAACAAAATAATTTATTTTACATTAACAATATTATATTATTATCTTACTTAGCAAGAATATTTTGTTTTAATAGAAGATATTTATCTGAATTAGCTTTTAATCGTATTAATATTACTGCATTAGTTGATTGATCAACTGTATAAAATTCAGGTACTATTTCAAAAAATAATTCAAATAATTCACTTATATATGAATTTAACAAGTTTCGTTTTGTATTGTCAAATTCCTCGTTCAAATATTAGTTTGAATAACAAAAATTTCGCTTATTCAGTTTCATGAAGTTCATCATAATGTAATTCTAAGAAAAGTATACAGAGCTATATTTTCATATTCGATGTTTTAAAGTAGAATTTCTTCCTTGTTTTTTGACTAAAGTTAGTCTAGAATAGAAATGACAGTAGTCAAACTGAAATTCTTATCAGAATTGTTATGATAAGACTAATATCTAAAAATAAAACTACTTTTCAAGTTTTTTTCAAAGAAACTTTTTACATTTTTCCTCATACCAATTTTCGAAATGGTATAATGTTCTGACTAAACAAATAACTCGATTTTTTTCTATTTAAGATCAAATCATTTATATATAAAAGATTATGGATTATAAAAAACAAAAACATTTCAATTGAAAAAAAAACTTAGAGTTTTAAAATAGATTCTGTCATTCTCAATCATTCAAAAGTATTTATTTTTGTAATTCATACATATTTAGTTAGCCTGCAATCTATTAAATCTCTTACTGTAACGACACTCGAGACTTAAATAAAGACATAAAACTAGAAAATTTAAAGTTGAGAGTAAAGATGATATTGACTGATTATCGATTTTTTCTATTAGAAAAATGAAAAATAAAATATTTTTTAGAAGAAAGAAGCAATTGATTGGTAGACTATTCTATTTAATTATTTAATTAGTTCGATAATAGAAAATATTTTCCAAATTTCTTTTATATAAAAACAAAAAGAGAAGACATTCATATAAACGATTAAGTAAATTATTTAAATATATTATATTCTAACCTGTAGTGAATTTAATTTTTTCTCCAGGTTATACAATAGATTCTTTTCCAGTTGTTATTGATGTTGTTCTTTTAAGTTAAAGCATAGATAAAGATGCATCTCTTACTCTAAACATGTTAATTAATGGTGTAAGGTTAACGTTTTCAAAAAGATCACAGGTAATAAGACATATTGATTCAGTTTTAATACGGGAATAACATGAACGAAGAATATCGAATGTACCTAATTTATCTTCTGTTTGTTGTGGGTGTGGGCGTGGTGTGGGCAAGGGAGAAAAAGCGGATTCCGTCTATTTCGGATACCGTCGGGATACACAGGAAATAATCTGACATAATAAAGAAAATATAAAATATGCATGACCTATTCAATGAGAATACTGGCTACTCAATTCTAACAAATAAATGTTATCGATTACGAAGAGTTTGACATGTACTTCGTCACATATTTCGATATTAAGTATATCATTTTATGTTGTGTAATTATTTAAACTCAAGAAAATAACAATATTAATTAGTTAGTGTCTAACGAAACCCGCTATGGCTGAATCGTTAAGATGATTGACACATACCCATAAGGTACTGTGTTCAAACCTCGGCCCTATTAGTCATAAAATTATTTTGGACAAGTCAATAACGGCTACATTGTCTCGGATCATCCATCTGATAACAAACTGACTACGCGTTGACATAAACTAAAAAGCTCTTGTGCCTAATATGTGGTTAGTCAGTATGTACGGGAAGCTTTAGTAATTAAGCGACGAAAACTCTGAGTCAGGTCGATCTTCTGTCCAGAGCTACATTTAGTAATAGATTTAGAAAAAATATCGGGCTTTTGAAACAGTCCTCGGGCAGCATCCTATATCGCAAGATAGCCGAAATGTGGAGTATTCTTCTTCTTCTTCTACTGTCTAACGATTCTACCCATTGAGCGCTTTCTTAATAGTGACAAACAATGATCGATTGAAACACAAAACCAATACCATGTTAATTAAATCTTTTATATAACAGACTTATATTCATCAAAGATGTGGGTGTGGCAGTGTTTGGACCAAATGAAGAAGTGTACCCACACCCTCAAAACAGACAAAAGTGATATATTTATATATAGGTGCTTATATTTAAAGAAAGTAATAGAAAGAAAAAATATTTTTATTCTACTGCTATCGTATTTTTGTTTTCATTATTCAAATAAAATATATATAGTTCACAATGAAAATCAATCAATGCTCGTGCCTTATCTATGGTAGTATGAATCTGGTGACGTATGTATACTTGAAAAGCACGTGTTCTTGATGCGAAATTTTTATTTTAGGATGCCAAACTATTCGATATAAACGTAAGGTACTTTTTTGGTCGATTGATTTTATACGACTCTCTAGAATAACAAACAAAAAGACATAGAACGGATGCTTCAATATAAAAGAGCGGTATCTATCGTATTCTTCCCTCTAGTACTTAGTACCATTGGATTAACGATTATATGTAATCGATAATCTTGTCTCGTCTACTTTCTTATTGACGTCATCTTAGCCTATTTATCTACAACTAAT